AGCATGAGGTGGCTGCCACAGGTTTATTTGAATTATTTTGCAGACTGGCAGGGAACTTACACCCATTACATAAGGAAAAGGAAAGTCTGTGCTCGTCCCCTAATAAGGAGGGCTGTTAAATTAAGGTATTTTATCCAAAGAAGCACAGTAGGGAGGGGAACTGATGGTTTGGCCATTTGAAGTCCCTTGTTTTCCCAAGTATCAAGGTAGCACTGGATATTGAATCTTAATTTTTTTCAGGCACAATACCAGAATTTGGAACAAATTGCACCTTCTATACTTTTTGCTTCTCTTTTTGGTAACTGCGGCTCTGCAAAATACACCCTGAAATAAAATGATCCCCAGTCATTTTTAGTTTTTAAAAACTGTGTTCACCTGGTTACACTCATTTCTGAACTAGCTTCATTTGCTACTTATGGGAAATTCTCACTGCAAAAATTTGATGTTAGTATTATAATATTAAAGACACATATTTACCATATCCATATAATAGGCCTATGAATTTGCTAGAAGATAGGTTAACATGATGTTATAGCATGATAACTTTACATGACTGGTTTTATTAAAATAAAATTTCTGAATATTTTTATTTCAAATAGACACATTCCTATAGGGATAATATTTATTTTTTCCTGATAATTTAAGTTCATTTAAAACAAGGTGGGGGGCCTCCCCAGTGGCGCAGCAGTTGAGTGCTGGCTGCGAAGCTGCCCGCAGCCTCTGCAGCACCGGTTCGATACCCGGCCAGTGGCGAGGGTCCCACATGGCGCGCAGACCTCTCCTGCTGTGCCTGCTACTCCCCTCAGCAGTGTATTTCGTCGGTCTGTCTGTTCTGCTCCCCACTCTGGCTCTGGTGAATTCTCTCACCCTCCCGTGCTTCTGACTGTACCCAGTGCTTGTATAAATAAATAAATAAATATTTTAAAAAATAATGTGGGAATGTGATACCAGTAAAAAGTTAAATTAATACAATATTTAATTCAGTTTCTTAGAGCTCAACTCAAGATGGTGTGTTTAATTTCAGGTTTTTTCAGCATATAAATATCATAAAATTTAAAAACTAAATTTTGAATCACACTGCATACTATATATTTTTCTGAAATGTGCTGTCTTCACTTATAATATTAATTCATGGGAATTTTCTCATTTAAATAATTTTCTAAATCTGTTTATTTATTGCATATTGTAGTTGATGGATCCACCATTTGTATTTAACTTTCTCTCCTAAAATTTTTTGTACATCATTTTCACTTCTGGGAATAATACAATGACTATCCATACTCATAAGGCTCTGTTCACATTCTTTATTCTTATTTTAGGATGTCTTCATTATAAATGTTAATACTACTATTTGAGAAAAAAATGTTTCCAGTTCAGTTGTTAATGTGTTACTCTGAATGTGTCCCACCCTTAATGAGAATTCCCTAGAGGATAAATACTTTAGCTACTCAGTTCTCACCTCTTTTGATTTTGGTCAATAGCAATTAAATAACACCAATGTTGGGCCTTCCCTGGTGGTGCAGGTGGTTGAGCTCAGCACTGTGAAGCTGTTTTCAGCCTCTGCAGTGACAGCTTGATCCTGGCCAGCAGGCAAGGATCCCATATGGCGTGGCAGACCTCTCCTGTCTCCCCCACTGCTCCCCTCAGCATTGTATTTCCTCAGTCTGCTTGTTCTGTTCCCCACTCTGTCTCTGGTGAATCCTCTCACCCTCCTGCACATCTGGCCTGTACCCCGGTTCTTGTATAAATAAAATCTTTAAAAAAAATAAAAAAATACGTAACACTGATGTTCATCTTGTAAGCACAATAAATGTTGCTTTGCAGTGTTTGCAATTTTCTGAGTGAAAAACTAAAGAAGACATCTAATAAAAGTCAAATATATACCATAGAACATATGTGGTTGGAAGGAATGACAGGGAAATAGACTGGGGGAAGTAATCTTGGAGGAGGGAATGTACTACTATTATATATTCCCTGGCTTATTACTGGTTCAAACATACTTTTTTTATATTTCAATGTTTCTTAATCATAAAAGCCTAGAAAAAATATATATCATTTTTATAACAAGGACATATACTATCAACATCCAAGTTTTGAAAACACTTTTTATAAATCTGTCAGAGTTTAAGTTCCTAAATGATACATAAAAATGGATGGTTTTGATGAACACACCAGAAATGACACAAAATGGAAGAAATTATTATTTTTATTATATTTAATAATGCAATATTATCATTTGTTATATTCTGGTATGCTTTAAAACAACCATAAGTACACTGCAATGGAACATTACAAATATTTTTGTTTGTATTTGAATATATATCCTATCCAGTTATTTTTTTAGGTGAGATTTAATATTCCATTCACCCCATGCTTTGGGATAAAGCAGTATGGGTTTACTCTTCTGCTTCTTTCAGTATCAAAATTAGCTGACAGACTAAATAAAATACTTTGTTAAATTTCAAGAGAAAATTCAATATCTTTTGTCATTTGAATGGCAAGACATTTATCTTACAAGTTCATATGGGGAAGTGAAAATGGAAAACAAGCCTGACTACCAAATATGGATTTGTCAATTATGAGAAAGATACCCTAAAATATAAAGAAAAATAATTGTAATTATCTGTATTCAATATGAAAATTAATCTGTTCAAATTGCCTTTTTTGTTTTCCCGGCCTCCTGTCCTTCTATCTGAATGAAGCAGGTACTTATAATTACATGCAGGGGTGCACAGGGTCCTCCTTCCTCCCTGATACCAAGCTTTAATGAATTTCATTATTCTTTTTTAATTTACATACTCTTGCAGAATAAAGATTCCCAAATCATTAACTAATTTGATATGTCTGAAATACCAATTCAATTGTCTGGTCCCTTGAGATTTTCAAATATCTTGTTCAAACACCTCTTAACTTAGTTTCTTAATTAGATACACTGTGATGGATGGGCTTTTATAGCACAGTCTCAGAGGGACAGTGAATCAGCCTAATTTTTATGACAATTTAGGAGACTTAGATTAAAAGTCATTTAAAACAATCAAGTCAGAGTTTGTGAAGAAATAGTCTGGGTCCCATGAATAAGGTTTCAGTTTATGCAGATCTGAAGTAGTATAAAAATGTTAAGTAAGTGGATCCTATTTTGTTAGTGAATAGTAAATATTGTTGAATGAGATTTAAAAATATCTGTTATTGGATTATAAGGAAAAATACAAATTTGCAAAGATATCATGTTCATAGAGAAAAGAATTAAAACATGAGGGATTAGAATAAACAATACTGTGGAAATTGTTGAGCTTTTGAAAGGCCTTATTTTTCTTCTAGTTACCTCAGAGGCTAAGAACCATAGCATTTTTTTTCCAATGTCACTTCTTATATTTTGATATTTACTCTTCTGTAATGTTAATATAAAATAATATGTCCATGTTAAAAAAACAAGACTGTAAAAGGAGTTTTGTATCTATTTTGCCAATATGTTTTATATTATAATAAGTGTGAAGGATTTGATTTTATAATGATAGATGTAAAATGTCAGAATTCTCTTTTATAGATCACATTTCAGAGAATCTGATTTCAACTCCTCAGGCATTTAATGCATTTTAAAAGGCTTAATTTATTTTTGTTAATAAATTTAAGTCTCCTTAGTAACTGAGAGGAAAACAACAAGCTATATATAGTGCTGCTTTCTACAAACTAATAAGTAAAATGCGTTTGAAAGTTATAGTAGTGATAATTTTAGAGGAATATTAGAAATACTAATTTTGTCATATTATGCCATTTTATATGGGCCTGGCAAGAAATAGGTACTCAATAACCATGTGCTAAATGAAAGATTCTAAAATACATTTTCATCATCAGGATATTCACTCCACTGTGTTTATTTCCAGCCTAGCATGGGACTGCAGTGATGGTGAAGCAGTGCATTTATATTTAAAAAGCCAGAATGATTAAAAATGCAAAAGCAATTGAGCAATTTAATACTCACATTTTTAAATTTAGTATAATATATCAACACATAAACACATTTTATAGCATTCATTATTTCCTATGTAACTCCAGGATGAAATCATTTGTCTTAGGTGATATGTCAAACAAAAAGTGAGGACTTTACAAATATAACTAATAGACGGTTTACTTAGATTAAAGATGTTAGATTTTGGAATTTTCAGGAATGGTCTGTTAGAATCTTTGGGAAGAAAAAGGGATAGTGAGGTAGAAAGACAATCAAACCGGAATAAGGGCTTAAGGCTGAGGCTTCAAGCTGTTATTAACTTTATTTACTTATTTTCTATTTTTTAAATTATTATTAAGTTAACATTGTTTTACAACACTGTAAATGATTCTCAAATATAGGATCCAACCTCTTCATATGCATGGTACCACACCACACCCAAGGAACCCACAGTTAATTTCAAACAATAATTTTAATTGTGGGGACTTGTGTTTATGTATCTGTGATTTAAGGAGACTAGGTATTACCTTTTCATCTGTAAAATTCAATGATTTGGGTGATTTAACCAGTTTAGTGGTCTGAAGATTATACTTTATTTTAAGCAATTATATATGTGTTGAATATCTATATGTACATAGGATATGAATATACACTATACATACTGTCTACATACACATATATAGAACATATATATTCTATAGAACATATAAATAGATAGAATAAATATAGAGACTATACCCACTGTATGTACACAATATATTATATACAACACACTATCTATTAGAGTAAATGGAAAAGGTCCACTTCCTACCTTCAAGAAGTTTACATTTCCCTGGAACATACACAGAGACCAGAAATTGTATATCTCTAGATTGCAAGCCCCAGAAAAATCTTTTTTAATCTGTTGTCTTCAGACTGTACTCTCAATGCTGAATCATCAATTTGACATCTAGTAGGGCTTCAATAAACATTTGCTTAATACATAATGATTAATATTCTGTGAATGGCATGAACTTAAGCATTAAAGCTGTACTGATTAGCCTCTGCCACTTACCTGTCCTTTCCTCCTCTGATTTGAGTGGGAGTGCTCACCTCCAATGGCCTTACAAGTACCTTTACCTGCTGCCATTTGGTGGGATTCAGATAGTGGGAGGCACTGGCAGGAAAGCAAAGGGGAGAAATAGGGAGAGAGGATTTTATGCATTTGCTCCTTTGGGTTCCGGGTGTTGCCATGGGGATTCCAGGATGTTTCTGTGATTGCATTTTTGTAAGACACAAGCCCACCCCCCCATTTATGACTTCAACTTTTTAGGCTCTAGAACACTGTTCTCCCTTTACCCTTTCAGACCTGGAAGTGATAACTTCCTACACTTGTTTAACATGTTTTCTTCCTCATTTCATGGGAGTTCTTTTAAACTGCTAACAATCTTTTTGTTAAACTCTTTAAACTTGTTTAACTTTCTGTTAAATCCTTTTGAGATCACCATCTGTTTCCTGCCTGAATCCTGTCTGATAGAAATGTATTGGAACAATGGAATAATTGGAATAATGAATAGCAAAAGAAAGTAAATAAAACTTTGAATTTAGGGACAGTGTCAAACCAGATATCTCCAAATCAGCTATCAATGACTTATTACACAAATTCACAAAAGTATTTAAATACTCTGGATTTCTCCATTAAACATGAAATTATTGGTGAAACATTTTTCAGATCCTTTTGATAGTATTATATACATTAAATTAAATATAGCAAGATGGTATGAGTGCTAGCTAGCTGAACTTTGCTAAATGGTACAGATACTCTCCAACATCTTTGGAAATATTATTTCCAGTTTTTCACTTGTGTAAGCATCATATTTCACTGGGCCCATGATTGGAGGAATATACTATAAGTTGACTTTGGGATTATAAGTCAACATTATAAGTTGACTGTGTGTTATGTTTGGGCCAGTGAAAAGCTATCAGGCATGATGAGAAAAGAGTTGTTAAATATGCCTTGGGAATTTTGATTTCACTTTATTATAATTAGTCTTTTTTCTGGTCCCTTATTTAGGATTTCTAAATTCCTGCTATGAGTGAGACCATCTGGTATTTTTCTTTTTCTTTCTGGCTTATTTCACTGAGCATGAGCCCTTCCGGCTCCATCCATGTTGCTGCAAATTGCATGAGTTTATCTTTCTTGATTGCTGAGTAATATTCCATTGTGTATATGTACCACATCTTCTTGATCCAGTCATCTACTTTTGTGCATTTGGGTTGTTTCCATAGCTTACATATAGATGACCAGCCCTCTTATTCCCCTGTGGTCTTCCCTGAGAAAAACAAGGATCAAGTATCCATCTGCCCAAGAAAAATATGGAAACACATGGAACAGATCTGAATCCAACAGAAATGTAAAACTAAGAGCAGTAGATCTTTAGCCTGAGGCAGCCAATCTCACTTAAGCTGCAGTTTCTAAGTGAGAAAAATACACATTTATTATTTTAAACCACTGATATTTTAGATTGTTATGCAACAAAACTTCACAATGCATTGTTTTTCCTGTTTGTCTAAATGTTACTAAATAGAAAATAAGGACAAGGCTAAAATTAAATTCAGGAGAAAATTTCATGTTTAAATTAGAATGAAAGGAAAGGGTAAAACAATGAAAGGAAACAATGGGTATTACAAAGGGAAAACCAAAGGGTACAACAATGAAAGGACAGGGTAAAACAGAGAGGATTTTTGCTTTTGACAATAGACAAACTGTTCACAGGTACCAGGTTTTTTTCTTTAACCATAAATGATTAAATAATGGAAAACATAAATGAAACAACTGTTTGCAAACACAGGACTAGAGGCAATGCAAAGCTTTGTAACAGAAAAGTCGTATTAGGTTATTGCTACAATTTTGCCCCAGCTTTCTGCCTGGAAGTGCTTTCTAGATACTACTGAAAGGAGCAAGCAAAGAACAATTACTAAGAATTTACACAGCAAAGATCCATACAGTTGGGCTGAGAATTGGGATTTTCATGAGCCAATGTCAAACATTTCGTCAATATTTGGGGAAATGAACAGTGGTCTCAAATGGTTACATCTTTGTAGTTGGGTTCCATTATCTCTAAAATAAAGGCACATGAGATCCAAATTAAAAAAGATGTTTTTAAAAGGGCATCAAAGAATCTGCTTGATCTGCAAGCACTTTACTCAAAAAAAAAAATGTTAAAGGAATGACTTTGGGCAGAAAATGTATTACATCTAAGACAAATCAAATATGTATATACCAGTGAGTCTCACAATTGTTGTTTCTCAGGACATATCCCCATATATAGTATGGCATTATTACAAAAAAAAGTAACAAAAAATGTGTTGGGAAGGATATGCAGAAATTTGAACACTTGTGTTAGTGGAAATGTAAATTGGTGCAGCTGTTATGGAAAACATTATGTAGGCTTCTCAAAAAAAAAAAAAAAAAAACTAAAAATAGATCTAAGTTATGATCTAACAGTCTGACTTCTGACTATATATCCCAAAGAAATGAAAACAGGATCTCAAATAGATAACTGCATCACCAAGGTCATTGCTTGCTCATTCATAATGGCCAAGATATGGAAACAACTCGCATGTTTTTTATTAAAGATCATAGAAAATGTGGAATGTACAGAAAATATTCTTTTAAAAAAGAAGGAAACCCTGGGGCCTCCCTCGTGGCACGATGAAGTTTCAGCACGATGAAGCTATCCGCAGCCACTGCAGCACGAGTTCAATCCCCATCCAGGTAGCTAACCCACATGGCATAGCAGACCTCTCCTATCTCACTCACTGCTCCCCTCAGCAGTGTATTTCATTGGATCCACCTGTTCTGTTCCCCACTCTGTTTCTGGTGAATCCTCTCACCTCCTGCACCTCTGGCCTACACCCCAGCTTTTTTATGCATGCATAAATAAATCTTTGGAAAAAAAATTCCTGTCATATATAACAACGTGGAAGGCTCGGAATACACTGTGCTAAGTGAAATGAGCCAGACATGAAGGATTCCATTGATTTCACTTCTCAAATGTAGTTTCAAAATTCAGACTCATAGAAAGGGAGAGTAGCGTGGTGGTTGTCAGAGCCTGGGAGATTGGGACAATTCAAAGTACTGCTCAGTAAGTTTAAAGTTTCAGTTAAGATGAATAATTTCTAGAGATCCATTGTAAACCTTTATGCCTATACATAATGATACTAATTGTGTAGTTAATAATTAGATAAAAGTGTAGCTATTAAGTTACCATTCTTACCATAATAAACTTAAAAATCTTATCTTTTAAACTGCACACGGGACCTCCGTGGTGGTGCAAGGGGTTAAGTCACAGCAGTATGAAGCTAACTGCAGCCACTGCAGCAGGAGTTATATCCCTGGCCAGGGAGGTGACCCACATGACACAGCAGACCTCTCTCTCCTATCTTGACTGCTGTTCCCCTCAGCATTGTATTTCGATATATCTACCTGTTCTACTCCCCACTCTGTTTCTGGTGAATCCTCTCACCCTTTGTACTTCTGGCCTACACCCCAGCTCTTGTATGCATAAATAAATAAATATTTAAAAATGCAAATAATAAAATTTATTACCTTGCTATATTTTGGTGCAAATATTTTAATTTTAATCAGTATGCATGCACATGTGTGTGTACACGTATACATGTACATGACAGTAAGGAAGAATGTGGTAATGTTTTAAATTTTGAAATTCTCTGTATTGCTTATGTAAATATAAGAGCCGAGTCCTCACATTTACTTTCATTCAGTGCGTAATAATGGCTTCAAGTATAGGAAGAAAATCTGGTTAACACAGACAAGTAATTTAAAAAGTTAGGAGTAGTTTAAGGTCTTTTCAGATAACTGTGGATATTTGTACTTGATATAATGTCAAAACTTGACAACTGGTATCTTCTTAAAGATTAATTTTAATAAGGAATCTGAAACCATATCAATGTATTTTTTGTAATTTGTTACATTAAAATTCATTATTCTATCTTACACTTTGAGTGACTCTTCTGGATGAATGGTTTTGTAACATTTACCATTCTTCATTTAAGGAAATGTCATTCCATAGAATTATTCAACTTTTTCAAGTATATAAAAAAATCACTTAAAATGTATTATGTAGTTTATAATATAAGGAGCCATAGAATATATGATAATTATTATCCAAAGGACAGGAAGGTGGACATTATAGTATGTTCTTACAAGATTCTATAGTGTAAGTGTAGTGGTATAACATTTTTAGTAAGTGGGCCACGAGAGAAGTTTTGAAAACTTTATCCATAATTGTGATTTTAGCGATTTACCCTGTAGATTCTATCACTTTTTGATTTGTATAAAATAGTGCATAAAAATTAAGATTGTTATGTCCTTTTTTAAGATTTATTTATTCATGCATACAAAACGAGGGTACAGGCCAAATGCGCGGGAGGGTGAGAGGATTCACCAGAGACAGTGGGGAACAGAACAGGCAGGCTGACTGAAACACACTGCTGAGGGGAGCAGCGGGCGAGACAGGAGAGGTCTGCCTCACCATGTGGGAATCTCCCTGGCCGGCCAGAATCGAACCCTTGCTGCAGGGGCTGCGGACAGCTTCACAGCACTGCACTCAACCTCCTGTGCCACCAGGGGAGGCCCTGTTAGGTCCTTTTTATAAATTGTTCCCTTTGCTATTGTAACATTTTCCTCTGTATCCATGGCATTTTTTCTTGTTAGAAAGCCTATTATAGCTTACATATTTATGTTACTTCTCTAGGTATCTCCTGAATAGTATGTGCATACTGTATCTTTTCCATACTTTTAAATTAAAACGATGTATTCATTTTAGAAGTCATTTTTCTAGTCTTTTCCCTCATTATTTTTGCTGCCTTGCTCCCTGAGTTTAAACCATTTATATAGAATACTCTTATCACCATGATTTAAATAAAGCTTCTGATCTTTTTCCCCCTATTTTTGCTTCAGCTTTTGTTCTTTTCTTGCCTTTATTTGTATTCACCTAAAACTTTTCAAAATGTAATTTTATTGCTAATACCAATTTAATAATAATATCTTTGTTTTTCTTTTTGTCATTGTTCTAGAGTTCACAAACTGCATCTTTTAAAAGAAACACATTTGATAATTTCAAATAAATATGATAAAATAAAGACTAATAGCAATTTCAAAGTTTGATTCAATAATTAGAAAAGTTTCACTACAAATTTTAATTGGATAAGCTTTGAAAACATTTTATTAAATGTTCTTGTGTTGCTAAATTTCTCAGGAAATTATACAAATCTTAAAGTGCATATTTTTACAAAATTTAAATTAGTGAAACAATAAATGCACAGTATACTTAAATAATTTAATTTATTTCTTCTGGGGTACATGCCTTTCTGAGGTTACATATACAGAGTGTTTTAAGGTTCCTGGACTAAGACCAGATTAGTGAATTCACACAAAAAAAGCAAGGTTTAAGTAAACTTCTTGAGGGTCTTATCTAAGGGACACAAAAGGGAAGCAGGCTTAGGTAGACAGGGAAGACTGCTGGTCCCAAGGGCTATTGGGGGCTAATATTAGGGCTAATTGTGACTCTGTGGAGTACTACCTCAGGTCTGAGACTACATGAGGGACTATGTCAATTTCTCACTGCAGGTCACTTCACCAAACAAAGTAGATGCCAAGGCAGTAATATCATCAGGTAGCTTAGCTACATCTCGGCAAGACCTATGCAGATTATTTCTTATTGAATGAACATTAACATGAATAGGTAGACATATTCCGGTACTTCTGCGTTCTATCAAATTAGCTATTTTAAAAGGTGTGTTTTTCCACATGTCTGTTCTCAACAAATTTCCTTTTAGTCTAAGTTAAATTCTATAAATGATACAGTAAATTTCTCCCAACTTTACCTGGGGCTAATAAAGAGGTAGTGGTTGTAACAAATAAAAACTATTTTGGCCCTGAAATGAAGTGACAGACCAAACTCATGAGCCCAGACCAAAGCTGTGCTCACATTTCTGTAATTGAAAGATGTAAGAGCTAATGATTAGAAACTGAAAGAATAATACCCAACCTGAATTAAACTGCAACACAGAGAGTGACATTAAGAACACAGAATTAGAAGGCAGAATGATGCTAAACAAAGACTTTTCAGCATTGTCAAGAAAGTTACTGAATATTCTCCCTGTGGGACATTTGCAGCAATAGCTAGCCTTGTACTAATGGAATAACAATGCATGAAAGCCACCAAAAAAAAAAAAAAAAGAAAAGAAGAAGAACAAAAGGTGCAACTTACATGAAGTTATATGCTCAGTATGCAAAACCCAAGAAAAAGTACAGCTCTGACTACAACCACAAAAAGGCAGCACATTGTTGAAAGGGGAGAAGGGAACTAATTCAGTTAATTTCCTTTAAAGAGATAAAACAAAGTCACAAGAGAAAACAAAGTCCTTTGCTACTATTTCCATATGGAATATTGTGTAAAGAAACTAGAAAATAGAAAGCTTTTGCAGCTTTTATATAATAAGAAATATACTTCCAGCTAGCCTTGTAGCCTTTATATTTTGAAGAGGTCCCTGTTTGTATAGAGTGATTAGATATCATATGTGAAATATTAGTAAGATCTGTTATTTTTCTTAAATATGGAGAAAACAAAGTAAAACAAAAGCTACAATAATATATATATATAAATATTGAATTTTTATGAAAATTGACATTTGTCATTAGTGACTTTAATATCTGGCAAAATATTATCAGCCATCTAGTCGATGAAAAAGTGGACTTCTTTCTACTGGCAACTGGGGAGCGAAGTTGGTTTCTAGTGTAGCTGAACTCACTGCACATATTATGTGAGCATGGGTCTGTATTTGTTTTCTTTGGACCAAATCTCTAACATCTTTATTTTCTGTCACTTTCTATTCATTTTCTGTAGAACAACAGGTTAAGACCACTCAGTGGTGGTTTCTGCCCTTTCCGTGACCTGTGATAAGAGAGGAGCAGACCAATCTGGGGGTCACTCTGGGGCTCCAGGCTGCTTTGGGGAGCTGCTGAATCCATACAGAGGGCACCTGATCATCAAGAGCAGGTTGCAGCCTCAGGCTGAGTAGCAATAAATTCGGGAGCTGGAGCAGTCTGTGCACCCTGAAATTCCTCCTTGGTCATGGCCTTTCAGCAGAAGCCTGCTCCTCCTTCTGCACCTGTGTAGGTCCCTGCAGAAGTGAGGTTCAGGTGCCAATGTCGCAGGTGCTCATGGGGCTATGTGCCACGTGAGTGCGTGAGCTCCTTGCTGTTACAGGGATGGCCATGTCGGCAGAGTAGTGGTAATGGGTTAACATGACTCCTCTGTGAGAGGCCGGCGGTTGGCCCTGGGATCACTAATGGCCAGAAGTTCCAGCTCCCAGCGGCTACCCGGCTCTCACTGGGGAGGTGGCAGGAGTGAAGCAGCCAGGACTGGGAGTGGCAACAGGGCCAGCAGAAAACCTCTGCGCAACTCACTGGACAGTGTTCCAGGAGGAGGTGACACTAATGTCAGCTGGATTTCAGTGACACAAACTACCACCCACAGATGCTTCTCTGAGGTCCCCTTTGAATTTATGGGATCATACCACCACTTTTCCTTTTTGTAGATGACTGTTCAAACTGGAAATCAAGGTTGGAGACACCTAAGTGGGTTCTTGCTGCAAGAAATTAAAGGACATTCTCCTTCATCTGTAGAACTACAAGGGTTGTGGACATTGTGAACCAAGTTTCCCTTTAAGTTATGATGGGGAACCAGAATAACTCTGTATGGATCCTCCTCCGGTTAGCACAGAAAAGCTTAAATATCTATAGTTTTTTAAGCTCTCATATACTAAGTTAAAACACTAACCATGATATGCCTGCAATGTAAATAACAAAAAATGATATAAGTAAAATAATATAAGTGAATTTTAATAATATAAATGATAATATAAATATATATAGAAAAAATGGGGATTTTATTCTGACTTTGTCTCCTTTTAAGTACAGAAAGGATTGCTGTCCTTTGTAATTTATTCCATTCCATTGCATTTTAATTTAACTTATATTGGTTTTACCCTGTTATATTTTTAAGCTAACTGAAGAATGAGCTAAGTACTAATGACCTCTCATTTCATATCACCACATTACCAGAGCTTTCACTCTTAATGCCAAGATCTACCATATCTTTCTTCCAAGAGTTACAACAGTTTTATTAGTTGCTGAACAAGGATCTAAGTGCCCATAATCTTCCTATTTTTCCTATAAAATTTCTAGGTTTGGGGGAGGGTATTTGAAAAGTGTGAATAATCTAATAAGCATAGAAATGAATAAGCAGTTTTCATACAAATTAACATAATGATGCATAAATTCATGCATAATTAAATGCATGCAAGTCAAAACAGCATTAAACAATTTAGCCAACACTTAAAAATAGTAATAATTACTAGTTCAACCTTTGTAAAAGAAAATTATCAGAATAATTAAAGTATTTGAAAATTAAAATTTCATATACTTCTTGCCCACTGGCTTCATAGCTAGGAATGTCCCCTATTCATATATTCAAAGCAAGTATAAAAATATGTTTATTTCAGCTAAGTTATTAGCCAAAAATTAGAAATAACTTATATGAAATTCTAGGCAAATATCCTATGCAATTATTAGAAATAAAATTAATTAGAAAATTAGACACACAAGATAAAATATTTCATAAATTAAGGAGTATATGTCTTATTTAATCCATTTCACTTATTAATTGATTCACCTTCTGTTTTAACAAATATGTATTTTAGACATTAAGCTAGAAGCTGCTTTTAGAAGAGAAATTCCTCTTATTTTAATTAGCCTTTTTTCAGAGAGTGTTATCTCACACAGTTGATACCTATATGCAAATTAGACACCACTTCTAGATATATCAAGATGAAAGTTGTTTTTTCTTCTGGGCAGATGTAGCCACATCACAGAGAACAAAGTTGGCAAGAGGGGCAAAGGCCATTTTATATTCTTGCTCTTGACCCCTTGGCAGGCACCGTTCTGTAGTGTACACTCTGATAGCCTACTCAGAGGTGCTAGAACTTAGGAAATGCATTACTGAAAATATAGACATTTGATTGAATCATTTTGATTTTCTTTTTTTCTTTTTTTTTGCAGAGTCTTATTTACATGTGTAGATAAAAGCTTTGGTATGGCAATTGAAAACTCATGATGAACTCTTCTGGATAATTTTTTTATTCTTCTCTCTTTTATTCGTAGGTAGCTCTACAGAAGAATCTCCATTGTTGCTCAAGCAGGAAACATCCTGATGTTCAACAGAAGGTAGGCAATATTACTTTCCATTGTGACTATAGCAGATAGTTCAAGAACAGGGAGCACAGTTGAACACTCACTCAGGGTCAGATTTAAGATTTTTCGCTGTCTTTCTTTAAAACTTTTAACATCAGTTGCTAGGGAAGCATATGTTGGCAAAGCTGACTTTGTGCTGCAGTTGCTCCTTGGGATCTGAACTTTATATTTGGACAAATGTAGTTGGGTATTAAGGAACTAAGAAGGGATGAAATGGAAAATCAGGTTCTTTATACAATATTTAATTTTTCTGTCTTCTCTTACACATTTTTGAAATATGTTTTCTAAAGAACTTTATTTGAAATTTACTTTTAGTTTGCTTTCTTTTGATTATAGATTAGTAGTATAGAATAATTGGATAGTCAGTCACAGCACAAGATCAAAAAAAGTTTACTGAAGAGAAGAAAATCAGCAGCATCTGTTTCATCAGTAAAGAGCTCTCATTTCAGAAATCAGTTATTTCACATACGTACAGATATCTGTAATTAGTACTTCTTTAATCTATAATCCTTAATGATCCTGTGAGAATATTGCTACCTCATGATTTGTGATTTAATGGATGGGAAGAGTAAACAAACTTCCTTTGCTTGTTTGTGTCTTTGATAACTTATTGAGAGAGTTTTGCATTGACTTTAAATGAATTCTTCCAGCAATTTTGAATTTTGGTTCTGTTGAACATTTTTAAATAGCAAACAAAAAGATTTATCCTCTATTCTGAGACGCTTATGCATTCTCATTAATTTAGCCAGCAGCATACATAACATACATACTTTTTAAGGTTATTTTTTAATATATTGCAATATTTACATATTAACCTTCTGTGTCAAATGAAATCTGATGATACGACAGACTTTGATGTAACACTAATTGTAGTTTAACTTTTAAAAGAAAATTGATTTAGAAAATGTACTAACTCAAAATACTAGATGGGTAAGAAGCTGTCAACACACAGATGATAAAATGTCTCAGCTTAAAGATATATTAACTGTACATAAATAAAAACATTAATAAAGAAACAAAGACATAACTACATCATATTTTAATCTTTCTTGGTGGAAGCTATGATGTACCTGAAAAGTAATTAGTTTCTCATATTCTAGACTTTTAAATTTTATTTGGAAGGAAGTGATCTTAAAAGAACAAAGTATCAAAATAAAATAGATATTAACCATAACATACTCTAACATGTACTCATTTTAGAATAATTTGAAAACAAAAACTAATGCTATTAATTGAATGTTCTTAAAAAATTGCATGAATTGACATCATAAATTTCAAAACATCACTATAATGGTCTTAAAATTAAAAAAAAAATGAGAAGCATAAAGAACAGAGTCTAAATATTTGCCAAGATTACACAGTGAGCAAATGTTGCTGACAAAAACCTTGGCTCCAGAAATTGCATTCCAGCCTCTGTGCTACCCTGTTGTAACCACTGTACAGGATTAGTCTCCAAATATTACAGCAGTGATTTTTTTTTTTTACACTCAACAAATATTGACATGTACATCTTTACCATGGATTTCCTATTTTCATTTTAATCAAGTATTAAATATTAGCACCGTAAGGCAAACTGCAGAAATTCTTCACATTTGTCTTTCATTATTTTCCAATGGGATCAGATATTTTAAAAGAAATCATTGATTGGATTATTTATATATATTGTCAAGGCATTTTTCTACACAATGTTGCTGTGAACTCAAAGTAGGTAAATTTCTAACTTTTGATAGATATCCTTTGGGGAATAAGAAAGAAAAACATCTCTTTTAAGCAGTATATCTAGGAGATGGAGATCTCCGTGTAACTCTGAGGGTTTTATGACTATTCTATGGGCCTGGTCTTTGCTACACAGGGGACCTTTAAAAAACTCTAGAGGAACACATCTGCTGCAGTAGAAACTGCTGCATGCTTTTATTGACATGCCCTTCTTTCTTCTGCTCTCCCTGTTCTTCTCTCCCTTCTTCCCTATTATCGTATTTAATGTTTTCTTCTGTTTTGTCTCCTCCATTTTACCTTTCCATTCTGCTGGCATAATCTCTGAGACCTTACAGTTTCTCTGTCAGTTTAAACTATAAGCAGAAATAGTATAGAAAATGCTTGCAGATTTAATTTGTTTTAAAATATAATTATTCTTCTGGGATACTTTAAATAAAGTTAGCTCTCTTGCTAATATCTTTATATTAAAAAAGGAACTTTGGTATGCATTATGTTATTTGTTTCTTATAATTCTCTGATAAATACTTTTGGTGAAGAAAACTATTAAAACTTAACACTATTGACTATAAAGTGATAGCCCAGCAGAGCCTCCAATTAGTTAATAAATGCACATAAAATAGAACCCAGTCCCTTATCACACTTTTGGTCTCTATTTCTCTACCAGATTGCACCATGGGTGCAAGAGGAATCAATCGTTAATTGAATGTCTAGTATGTGCTATGTTCTGTCGGCATTAAAGAAATGCATTATGCTGCCTGCCCTGTAGTTAGGAGCCTCCAATATCCACGTGGATGAATCAAATAAAATTTAACCCTAGCGAGTGGACACTTATGTGTGAATGCACACTTTAATGTACAGTGGTCTTCAGGATCATAGACAGATTCCCTGCACCAAATATCTCTATCAGAGGTGCTCTGCAGACCCTGAAATCAAAGAGTCATTCATTCCAGATTGAACTGTTTTAAGTCTGTGAGAGGTTCCCCTCTTCCTAGTGCATTAAAACATATCACTAAATATTTTAATATGCTAGGACTTTAATGAGTATGTCATGAGTCTTCTAGAAGACTCTAGAAAAATTGAAAAAGAACCACAGCATAGAAAGGATAGTAGGTGTGTTTGGAGAGGTATGGAGCCCCAGTTCCTCACACTTTTAATTGGCACTGGTTTAGTTGCCAATATTCCCTCATCTCTATTTATTCTCATTAAAGAATGCATCATTCACCTTTAGAGATTTATATAACTCTCTGCTCTCTAACTCATAATCAATGTCAGATTTTTTTTTCTCCCTTTTGAAATTAACTGTATTTCTACAAGCTCCTTACTTGAAAGTCATGTTATTTCAAGGACTAAGCAGTTAAGTGACCAACAAGTGTGTCTCTTAGGTTTCTCATTCAGGCTCATCTGTGCATCTAAGTTTTCATGTTAATTGACTGATTGATTCCATTATACACAAAGACACTTTGATCCAGTCTGTGCTTTAGGGGAAAAAAGAATAAATACTGTTCCCACATCACATCAAAATATATTCAGAGAAAAAGATTTTCAAGATAATAGAATTCAATAAAACAAAAAGGTTCTACATTTCTAAACCATTTTGTAACCACATTGTAAAACATATATTCGTTATATGATGCCAGTTGTTTCATGTTATCTGTCACTAATTGCTTTTGCCTGCTGCATAACTAGACAACTAACTGCAGCTCATCTACACAATAATTTAATCTGTGATGTTAAGGAATGAGGCAATTCTGATCTGTTACCTAACTGTCCTCTATAGTTTACGATGGACCCACAGCATTTTAAAGTGGCTGCTAACACTTAGATTGTCATCCAGTACAACCCCTGCCTACAAGCAGAGACAATGTGGTTTTTAGTGCCTTTCCTAAGGTCACTTGGTAGCAGGACAAAACCTGGATCTCAGTTACCAGGTCTTTGGACAATCAATTAAATTAAATTTATTGGTCATAAGAGGTCTTTAAATTCTTAAACCAAAAGAGCTTTCTAAGGAGAGTTTAGACAACATAGTGATTTGGAGGGGGTTTGCAAAAGAAAAAAAAATATTTTTTACTAAAACAGCCTTTAAAATCACAACACAAAGGAAAATCTTCCTGCCCTCCTGCCATGAAATGTCAGAAGGGTGTTATGTTAATTTAATTAGTTTTTCCCATTCTGAGTGACTCCACTAAGAGCTTAGAATACTGCCCTCATTTGGGTTATTGAATTGCTGGAATGCTATACTTCAGTATTAATGGATTTATTTAATTTGATATCTTCATAATGCAATTGAATTAAAAGTAGAGTTGAGATAGATTTTCTAACCATTTGACTAAATATTAAACTGTTTTATTTCCTGAACCTTAACTGTCTGGGGTTACGAACTCAAAAGAGCACAAGAAAGCAAATCTACAAGTTTCCCAAATAGAGCAAGGGGTTTGAATTTTAATGTGGACTTGGAATTTAACTGATTGTTCTTTATGAAATAGAAAATATATTCTTTGACATTAAAATGAAAGTCTGCACATATAATATTATTTACACTACAGTAAATTATTTTGTTGTCAAGCATTACAAATTCAGATTATATGAGTTCCTTGCAGAATCTATACTTCTCTCTCTGATCAAATACTTTTATACCGATTGCTTCTTAAAAGAAGCCAGGATTTGAATCTTTGTATATTCTCCTACCTGCTCAACAAACCTTAGAAACAAAGCAAGGCAATGACTTTGAAATGTGCCCTTTGTCATAATAAAATCATGGTTGTTTTTCCTGTGGTAGAGTTTGCCAAGATGCAGTATTTCTCTTTGAGATGTCAAATCAGATGCATTTTCCCTGGAGGAGGAACCTTTTTAAAAGTTGGTTTCCAAAGACTTTTTAAAAAATAAAAATGAACTCACTTTAGACTGTTTTAATTTATGCCCAAAGCAGCAAAGGTAAGAGTTCAGAGCATAATTAACTTAAAATATACCCTAGAACATATCTGACTCATCATGCTTTAATGAGTCTCCATAAGTAGATGATCTCTGCAAAAATAAAACAGAATACTGATTACAGAGGGCTTGACTCCTACCTGAGTAGAAATCTGTGGGGTGTATCATTGGAGGAAGTTAAAATATCACCAAAGAAAAATAAAAACAAAATTTTAGTGATTTAAATTTTCGACTTGCCAGTGCATGAAAAGGAAATGAGTCAAGATTTTAGTAGGTGGGCAGAGAAACAATTTCTTCATGTCACATAAATTAAGAAATATGAAATATTT